CGAACTTCCATTCGGGATTAATCAAATGCCAGTAATCCCGTAAACGGGTTCCTCGAGTAGGGGATGATCGTGGACACCGTCTGCTCAGGCTTTTCAATCAACAACGAAGTATACACCGCTCGCACACACGATCTCGTTGCATTCAAATCGCGTCGCCAATAAGCCAGTGTCGATTTCCAGGCCAGATAATGCCACGATAAAAGGCCCGGGTCCTTTTCTCCTCGACGTGTACACACATGGACGTACGTATGTCTGTAAAAGGAAAAGGGGATCTTTTTCGCCGATCATCCGTGCTTTATCAAGCCGGAATTATGCCGCCCTATCCTCGGACGACTTGCTCCAATCGAGACTGGCCCTTCCACCTCTTTTCTTCGACCCCCATCAACGAAACGAAGAAAATCTATTCCCTCTACCTCTTTTATCCTCCTTTCCAGGATTTTTCTCGCTCGAAATTTACACTGGAACTCCGACTGAAGCTTCAAAGCGTTTTGTCGAAGGTGGTCGCAATTTGTCCTCAAATAATCGAGATAAGATATTACCACGTGCACTGGTCAATAATTCTTAATTTTCTTTTTAAAAAAATTTAAATTTGGGAAAAAGTGTATTCAAAATATTATTGCTAGCTATCTGCCCTTCAAATTGTGGATGCCCCCCATTTTGTATAGCAATAAAATAACATTTTTTATGAGATTTTAGACTTTGAATACGTCCTTACGTCTAGTGACATAGAACATCTAAACCAAAACCAGTAATTCAACATAGAGATTAAAAATTATTAATCGGTAAATTTGTGTAAAAAGTCCTTCTTCAAATTGTTAAATCAAGTGAGTCATCTTCTCAACAGTGACGTCCATATTAAGAAGTCTCTCGCGCTAACTTAACGCGTACCGTTAAAAAGTGAAGGATGAAATTTGAAGAGTTTCATTTTTGCGCGTCGTAACACAACGGTGCTTATTGTTTAATAACAGCGTTACGTTTAACGACGAAGACACGACGGGACTCGGTCGTAAACTTGTAGCCAATCGCTCGTGGACTCGGTGCAGCTACCAAAGGCTCGTTTATGCTTCTACATCCTGAGAGAACCGGACGAGGAGTGCCGACATAACGACACATTATGCTTTGCACGTGTTCCCTTGTACTGCAAGTTGATTCACATGTGAATGGCATTCTTCGATGTTGTAGCGTTATAAATAACCGTTCACGAAGGCAGTTTAATGCCGGGAATTGTTTAATTTATCGCAGGTACACCGTGCGAGCGACGCTTTCAGAACTATGGAACTGTTTGTAGCAGAACTTACCACTTTCGGGTGATAATTAGGAAATGGGTCGTAACATTCCCATGTAAAGTTAATTTTGTGACACCATATTGGCATAAGCTGCGGTTAGTTAACATGTCCATGTCTGAATATTCAGAGCTGGAATATTTTTAATTTTGCATTGTCTTGGAGTAGCTGATTTGTTCAAAAAATTTCATTTCAATCGAGGTTCGTAAAAACGCAAAGGTTATTACTCGCAACGTTTCACAAACGGTTGACATAGTAAAATTATAAAAATGTAGAAAAGGCTAACAATAATTCCATATAGTCGGACCGTACGTGAATTTAATATTCTCCGCTGGCGCTATTAAAATGTCCAATCATTGTACGACATTGCAACTAGTCTTAATTGTTCCCGGGTCCAGGCGAGCATGCCTGCAGCTACCTCTTTCCACATTGTCCAACCATGATAAGCACGCCAGAGTGGAATCATGGCATAAACTTTAATCGTGCGAGGCTGCACAGTCCATGTGTTCGTCGAGCACATCGTCTAGAAATGCGTGGGTGGTCTTCTGCGACGGAAAGAGAAGGATGAAAGTCGAAGAGATTGAAAGACACAGCAAATTCATCTTCATTGCTAAGCAAAATTCTGTAACGGCGCAAACTATTATTATCTTCAGTTTTGTGCAATCTACGTGATTCTCCATTTTTACGTTTGATTTCGGATGTTGTCAACACTCTAAAGTATTTTTAATTTGGTTAGTCAAATTGATTATATCAAACTATTCATCAAATAGATTAAAATAGACTAGATATAGGTTAACCTTACAGTAACAGTAACAGTACAGTAACCTTACATAAATATCTCACAACTAGAGAAACTATCAGAAAGAGATTACAACTGAGGTGATTCTGAATAACTTCTTCCATTGCAAAAATTTAAAGCTTCTGAATAATAAACATCAATCACTCGGTTTAATGTATTTAGATGCGGTTTGAATAATTCTTGTTAGATGTGAATTTAATAAAAGATAAGGTGATTTAAAACCCGTTAGGTCTTCGGCGAGCAGACTGACAAATAAATGGGCTGAGTTCGATTTCGGTCGATTTACGTTGGGTTTCGGCTATCATTAATATGGCCGCCGTTGTGTAATGGCCGTCTAGCAGTTGAATAACTGTAGCAATCAATGTAAACCAAATCTAACTAAAGTCCGTGTAATTGCATGATATAGAGTAAATGTAAACGCATAAATCTTGCGCAAAGATATTTTAACCTCTTGCCATACAATGCGACGTACTTGTGACGCACTTCTGATGCATTCGTGACGCACTACTGACGCACTCGTGATGCTCAAATGTTAGACTCGTAGTTTTACTGTAATTTTTCGCTTCTATTGTAATAATCTACATAATCAAGAGTTGATAAAGAAAATATATTAACATTTTAACATTCCTTTCGTTGTAGAAATAATTAGCTATGGTAACTGTCTAAAAAATTGTGAGTTAAGGCTTCATAGTGAAAGTACTTATTTTTAGTAAACTAATGTACTATTGCTTTCATACTACTAGCTCCAAAATTAATATGTAATATACAGTGTAATTATACATAATAAATAATATGATATAAAACCATATACATATGTCATATGATACATACAAAATTAATATACACATAATATACAGTACAACTGTACATAATAAATAATATGATATATAAGTATATGTATGCACACATATGATATATCATGTATAACCAGTAGTATAGTTCCATAACTATAAACTTTATAACCCACGTAATAAATAATATAATACGAAAGTATATGTATGTACATATATGTCATATGATGTATACCTAGTAGTATAATCCTATAATTATAAACCCTACAACCCCTTCCCAGAAACATATCAACTTTTCAACTAAAAAATATCGAAATTGACAAGATATCGTAATCGATAAAGAGTCGATGGTCATTATTTCCGAATAAATTTTCCATGATACCCGAATTTATATCCGAGCCAAAGTTCCCGGTGATTCGTCCCTTCGAAATCGACATGTATGTCTAAGGTCGAAGCGGATTCCGGGCACGTAAGCTTATCCTATTTATTGCACCTTTCTCGGCTGGCCGGCTCGCCTAAATCATTGCGCATTCCCCTTATTGAATGGGAAAACGGGATGCATGGTTTACAGCCGCTCCCTTATTCGCCATCTTTTCCTTCTGGCCTCCGCCTCGCAGCCGGGAATAAAGTTTCCAATATTCTATCGGACCGGACTCCTTTTCCGACAGACGGCACCGGTCTACACGGAGAAAACTCTCAGAAAACCTTCCGTTTTTTGATATTGCATCTCTTGCCTTATGTTGTACATCCTCCCTTTCGCCTACGACCCGCTTCGTTGCTCTCCGATACATTTTTCGACCGGCGAAAATTTGCCGATTGATATTACTCCTGACCAATGATCAATGAATGGAATTCTACGGTAAGACTTTTATGTGTTCGGCTGATAGTTTGTGCATGAAAGATTACTTTTTTGACCACGCTTAGATGGGGATTTATTAATACCTTTTTTATGATATTTGTAGAAGATGAAACATAATTTCAACGACAATATGGTGGTTTTAGCAAACTAGCTTTTGGTCCAATACATTATTGTTTAAAAAGTAAAATGAACACACGAAGATTTTAAGTAAACTTATTACAAAATCACTTAAATAGATGAAGATGCTTACCATCACTTTATGAACGTTTCATAAGATAACACCTTAATGATAAATACAGACTACCTGTCTTTCGACACCATACCTTTCCCGATCACAGTTTCATACTATTTTTACTAGAATTTTGACCTTATACTTCTACGATTCCCTGTTTAGACCCTATCCTGTATTCAGACAGTCCCCCAACAAAAATAAAGGAAATAAATAAGACAGAAATAAATGAAAGTGAATGTTCGAAAAAGAACGAAATGAAGATATTGACTCTGAGAAGGGTACAAGTGAATCCTTTCATAGAACAAGCATTCCGCTTAGCGAAGGAAAGCCTTTATCTGAGAAAATCACGAAGGCAAACGTTGTGTTTAGCACTGGATCCGTAAATTAACGTCCCGCCCACGCTCATCTGGCCATTGTAAGTGAGTCTCTAAATCACTCGCGACCAGTCCCCCCTGAAGCGAGTCTCTTCTTTGCGATCAACGGAGTTTCCAAGAAGCAGACCGTGACACGCGAAAATAAAACGAACAAACAGAAGTCGCATGACGAATTGGAATAGGGAGGTTGTAACGAGCTCCTATTGGTCCCGTTTTTCTGTCAAGACTCTTCAAAACGACCCCGGCCACAGTTTGTTACTGTCCACCGACAAACCACCAGACACTCGTCCTCTCGAACTGTGCCGCTTGTCGTTCTTGTCTCTCTGTGTGTAGGGTCGAAAATCGACCCTTCGTTTTGTAGCCCGCGGTTAACTTGTACTACGCGTATATACAGTGTGATGAAAAACGGAGAGGATATAAGGGTTTTCGAGATTTGATGAACATAGGGGAAGTTTGAGTTTGGGGCTTTGTTCTTGGGATTTGGTACTAAGTAGCTGGCATATGGTGTTTGGTATTCTGGTATTATGATATTAAAATATTTTGTATTTGGTATTATGCGTATATAGGAATTTTGAGTAAAGGTATTTGGTGTTTAGGTAATTCGTACTAACGTATTTGGAATATAGTTTTTGGTATTTAGGTATTTGGATATTCGATATTAGGGTATTCAAGTGTTCAGTATTGGGATATTTGATATTGGAGTATTTGGTATCGGGGTATTAGGGTTATATAGGGTCGTTGGTATTAGGGTATTTGGTATTGGGGTATTTGGTATTGGGGTATTTGGTATTGGGGTATTTGGTATTGGGGTATTTGGTATTGGGGTATTTGGTATTGGGGTATTTGGTATTGGGGTATTTGGTATTGGGGTATTTGGTATTGGGGTATTTGGTATTGGGGTATTTGGTATTGGGGTATTTGGTATTGGGGTATTTGGTATTGGGGTATTTGGTATTGGGGTATTTGGTATTGAAGTGCTTGGTATTTGGGTATTTGGTATTGGGGTATTTGGTATTGAAGTGCTTGGTATTTGGGTATTTGGTATTGGGGTATTTGGTATTGAAGTGCTTGGTATTTGGGTATTTGGTATTGGGGTATTTGGTATTGAAGTGCTTGGTATTTGGGTATTTGGTATTGGGGTATTTGGTATTGAAGTGCTTGGTATTTGGGTATTTGGTATTGGGGTATTTGGTATTGAAGTGCTTGGTATTTGGGTATTTGGTATTGGGGTATTTGGTATTGGGGTATTTGGTATTGGGGTATTTGGTATTGGGGTATTTGGTATTGGGCTATTTGGTATTGGGCTATTTGGTATTGGGGTATTTGGTATTGGAGCATTTAGTATTGGGGTGCTCGGTATCGGGATATTTGGTATTGAGGTATTTGGTATTGGGGTATTTGGTATTGGGGTATTTGGTATTGGGGTATTTGGTATTAGGGTATTTGGTATTGGGGTATTTGGTATTGGGGTGCTTGGTATTGGGGTATTTGGTATTGGGGTATTTGGTTTTGGGGTGCTTGGTATTTGGATAATTGGTATTAGGGTGCTTGGTACTTGGGTATTTGATATTGGGGTATTTGGTATTCAGGTGCTTGGTATTTGGGTATTTGGTATTGGAGTGTTTGGTATTGAGGTGTTTGGTATTGGAGTGCTTGGTATTTGGGTATTTGGTACTGGGGTGTATAGCATTTGGGTATTTGGTACTGAGGTGTATAGTATTTGGGTATTTGGAATTGGGGTATTTGGTATTTGGGCATTTGGTATTGGGGTATTTGGTATTGAAGTGCTTGGTATTTGGGTATTTGGTATTGCTATATTTGATATTTGAGTATTCAGTATTGCTATGTTTGGTATTTAGGTATTTGGTATTGAGATATTTGGTATTGGGGAATTTGGTATTGGGATATTCCTACAACTGCTACTCGAATAATTTGTATTTGGGTATTTAGTAATTGGGTAAATGGAATCTCACTCTTTGATATTTTGGTAATTGCAATTTGATATTTAGTATTTAGTACTTGGATATTTGAAACTTTGTTCTTTATATTTGAAACTTGTACTTGGGTATTTGCTGCTTAGTACAGTATCTATACTTGGTGCATGATACTGATATTTAATACTTCGTATTTGCACTGAAATTTTGATACTTGACATTTATTATTTTATACTTAAAACTTGATAGTTGACACTTAGAACTTAGTATTATATATTTGTTACTTGATATTCAGAACTTTACATTTATTACTTAATACTTGAAACTTAAGAATTGCTTAAAAATTCAGTCCTCAGTAATTACACCAAAAATGACTATTAACACACGTTTGATATCCAGGTATCTACTCTGACACAGAATCGTTATAATTGAGTAACTCCTGTCGAAATTCCTTTTTAGTCATAAGTACCCATAATATGTAATTAGTGTCTACTATTAAAAGATACACCCAGTACATTAAAATCCCAAGAAAATACTGTTGAGACAGACGCCTAGACGCAACTGGTCTTACGAGTTCCAAGATGGATTTAAATAAGAAGCGCCTAAGGTTCCCCTTTGATGGAGCCGGACTTGGGTGGCACAACCGGTCGGGTCTGAATAATTGCCGAAAAATGCGTTAATTGTTTTGTGAGGCCCTCGTGTATCTTCCACGCACGATCTACAACAGGGCCATTTTTAATGGGCATTCCTGTGGAATGTTGTTCTTCAAATGAGACGGCTCTAACAAGGGTCTTTAAAGCGTGGTGTGATGTTGTTACTGTGTGCGCGTGCGCGGACCGTGTGTTTGTGATTCATTAATTCAACAAATTATACTGGAAGAATTTTGTTTTGATACTGTGTCACGGAAGAGAAGTAATTATGATTAAGAAAATTTATGGGACTTCACACTATTACTCTTAATTATATAGAATAAGTTTTATTAGAAATATTTAATTAATATTAATATAAATATATAAATTATTAATATTATTATGAACAACTATTCATCAAAGATGTAGACATAAAAATTTCCAAAAATAAAAATCTGTAAATTGAGGCTAACAACCTCACATTTAAAAACTTTTTGAAATACGATAACCCGAGGTACATTCACTCCACAAGTTCCATAAATAAAAATACCAGTCAGACACATATATAGAAATTGACACGTGATTAATTCCTCGTATGTTTGAAACTTAATGAAGAGACCTCGATAAAACTGTATCCGTGGCAGTGTCACACGATCAGCTTTGAAACGCCAGAACCGCGAATAATTCTATACCGAGAGAAATTAATATTTTCTCTCGACTGGGCATGCAATAACTGTGGCACGCTCGTTATCTGCCGGAAAATTTAGAAACTCTGCTTCCTTTGCCGGTAAACAGCGCGATACGGCGGTAGCATGAACAATACCATTCGGCAATGACTTACTTTTTCCATGCCCGTTCACGATTGCCAATTAAAGCAGCGAAATGCGTATCAAAACAAATCGATCGATACGTTTTATCGAGACACTGTGCGTGATTGAGCTTCGAACAAATAATGAACGAATGAAACTGGAAAGGCAGATATCTACCGTTTCAAATATTCGTGTGCTATAAAGATATCGGCCAATCAATATTTAAAGATTTGTATTTACCGATATAGAATTGGACGTTCGACCGACATCTCGAATAAATTGTAAACTGGACAAAGTTTTTGATAAGATTTTTTGTTGGTTTGAAAAGCTTCATTTGGGAAAATTTATTGTGTAGTGCATGTTTTCTTGTAGAGGACGGTGTTTTGGATATTTTGAGGTTAAGTTTGCTATTTTGAGGTTGGGAGAGATTAGGTTAGGTTAACTTTACTGTAATACACTGTACTTTTTAGTATATTCTGTATTTTATATTTCTATGGCAAAGTAGGCAAGTAGTTTTTAATAAGCTTTTTCGTAAGTTTGAAAAGTTTGATTTAGAAAAATGTTTTGTGCAGTACGCGTAGTGTTCTTGAAGATGGCAGTGTTTTGCATACTTTAAGGTTAAGTTTGCTATTTTGAGGTTGGGAGAGATTAGGTTAGGTTAACTTTGCTGCAATATACTATAATTTTTACTATATTCTACATTTGATATTTTTATTATAAGATATATATGCTAAATTTTCTGTGAAAGATGATCTTCGAGGCTATAGAAATGAATGAGATAATAGTAGTGGTAGTAATAGTGATAATAATAGTAAAAATAGTAGTAAGAATAATAGTATTTTGATCCTAAAATCAAAATGATGTCATCTATAAGGAAACATAACTATACAATGTGTCTTACAAGTATGTGTATACTATTATATATAGTTTTCTATCTAAAATTGTGTTGTATATTTTTCCTACAATACATATTTTACACGTTATTCCCGCCATTCAAGTATCATCCTATATACTATAAATGCAATAAATACAAAATTTTGTTAAAAATAGTGTTCCTGCATCATCAATAAAAAGTCTCATTTTTTTAACTTTTTATGGGTTTTCATTTTTTACAGCTACAATTTGCGATAAAAAAATTTGAAAAAATTCTGTAATATGTGCTGTGAGATCCTCAATATTTCTGAATTTTTTTTAGAATCTTTTTACCTTAATAAATAGAAAAAATAGACATAAGATATAATAAATTAGTAGAATAATGGAATTTTGATTTTGTCGTGTTACCACCACCTAAGAGAAATAAGGGTTTGAAACTTGGAGTGAGATGTTTCTTCATACACTGTCAAAGATATTATGTCATCAGATTCAAGGTCACAGTTAACCCCATGATGTGCCATAACGACTTTGACACGTGCCTCACAGTTCACATATGATGAATGCTACTCGAATTATGAATAGATTTGAAGATGAATACCATTTGAATTTCGAGTCCAACTGTATTTTGCAGAACATCTTTAAATACAAAATTAATATCGGAAATTCCTTTACTTATTTTAACCCCTTAGTCTGCAATTTCTTAGGCAGTTGTGTTATTCACAGCTAGTTAATTATTACTAGAAAGTTAAGACAATTAAAGAAAGTTAAATTGTGCATATTGTCTTCAGCGATTATCGACTATGCAAATAATAATTAGAACAAAAGACTCAAATGCACTGAAAATGCGAGTATAGTCTACTACATTCCAACTGTAGTGTGCGTCACGAGTGTGACACGATATTGTAAGGCCAGGGTTTAACATTGTAGATATAAATGACACACAAATTATGCAGCAAAGATTTCCAAATTATTTCACAAAATATTTAAAAAAATATCTAAAAAGTCTTGTACAAAAATGAATTAAATAAAGAAAAGAAGAAAATGTCCAAAGCACCCCGAATATTCGGTCAGGTACAGAAAAAGAAATTCCAATTTTATTCCGCTTTATAGCTGTCCCCGAAACTCATCCAGATTGCAATACGGTTCTGGCGATAAATCGAAAATGATAGTTTCGTCGATCCGGTCCGTCGTCGGGATAAATCGAATCATGCAGACCCCCGATAATCCCCTGGACCATTGGCGATGGCTCGATAAGAACCAGTATGATCTATCCCGAACTGTGCTCTTTTCTATTTCCCTCTTTTCGATGACGGCCACGTGTGCGTCCATCTCTTATCAGGAATCAGACCCCGGAACAGTTAATGTTCTCCGGTCAGAGGAGCCGATCTGACGCGTGTTACGCGATCGTATTATTCTATGTTTGTGCGCCAGAGAGCACATTGTGTCCTGCGATCGATAATTATTATTTTGCGATAAAGGGAATGGTGGGGCTTTTGCGTCCACGCTTCAAATTACATTTTAGGTTGGGTTACTGAACCTATTCTAGGTTAGGTTTTAGTCTATTCCCAGGAAATATATTCTCTCAAAATTTAGAACTGAAACCTAACTCCTTATTCTTATTTTAAAAAGTTTAAGTCTTGTAGGTTGTTTCAATGAGGTATGGATAATGAAACTTGATGTAACTATTAATAAAAACATTAGCTATTTAGTATATAGGGTTTCAATTTTTTGCGAATATATTTTCAACAGCTAAATAAGAAGATGAAGTAATAGAAACATACTCTGCAATGAAGTAATAAGAACATAATCTGCGACAATATAGAGAAAGTGTACTGTAGTAGCGAATAGCTAAGTGAGTACTTGCGAGAAAGTTGCAGTCTCTGGTGTCAACTATAGGGATTACAGCGTCTCAGTTTTTACCACCAAATCGACATACTTCACACGCAAACATACAAGTTAGAAAGTCTATAAATTTGAAACTGTACAATCCAAAAAATCCAGAAACTAAAAATTTCCAATCTTGAAAACCTAAATTTAAAGGTGTAAAATCCAAAAAATTCAGAAAGTAAAAATTTCCAAACTTGAAAACCTAAATTTAAAAGTGTAAAATCCAAAAAATTCAGAAACTAAAAATTTCCAATCTTGAAAACCTAAATTTAAACATACACAATCCACCAAATCCAGAAACTAAAAATTTCCAATCTTGAAAACCTAAATTTAAAAGTGTATAATCCAAAAAATCCAGAACCAAAAAATTTCCAATTTTGAAAACCTAAATTTAAAAGTGTACAATCCAAAAAATCCAGAAATTAAAAATATCCAACCTCAAAAACCTAAATTTACAAATTTACAATTACAAAAAATCCACAAACTAAAAATTCCCAGCCTTGAAAACCTAAAAATTCAATATTCTCAAACTAACAAAATTTAAATCCTGTTAAACGCAAGCTTTCAGAAACTTAACCATCCACAAATTCACGAGCATACATCCGTCAGAAACGAGGACAAGTAATACAAGATTCGTCCCTCTACACCCTTATCCGACGGAATCCTACTTTACCCTCAAGTATCCATACATCCACTC